TGGCCATTTAGGTATTAGATCATTACATTGCTTTCCTTACAGTGGATTTATATGGTTGGCAACAGTGTATAATGCAATTTCTACTCACCAACTTCGTATTTTGTAGCAGCAATATTAGCTGTAACCCGGCGTTTCCTAACAGGCTTTTTTTTGTTCGAATTGTTTACCACGCGTTTGCGATCCTGATTTGTCTGTGCTGTTGTTGGGTTTCGAACTTGCTCCACATCTTCGTCTTCGCAATCCTCAGCTATAGATGCTTCGTCTTCGATTTCTTTCCCTCTTCGTTCACAATTATCATTCACAGTGCTCGAATCAAGCAAATTAAAGTGGTCTTTAGCCATGGCAGCCGCGTTTTCAGCTAAATCATGATTGCAATCGTCCATAGTTACCGATCGCAATGGCGTGCGAGACGACAGCGGAATCTCTTGGGGAAAATTGTCTTTGCTCACAGAGGAGATGTCCAGATTTACCCTTTTCGCGCATTATTAACCCATTGTGGTGCTAAAAGTACCAATTCGTCATCTCCATGGAAATGATTTTGAAAACTAGATCTGAAAAAAAAAGTCTTGTATGATGATTAGTTCGTACACTTTTGGGATTCTGTTAATGGGTGTAGCGTGACGTTTTAACCATAGCAACATTCGAGTACCATAACGGAGTGTAACGAACGAGGAAGTCTGGAAAGAAAAGTTCCTTTCGCTAGTCTTGCGATCAGACTTCTTGTTCGCTTTACTTCTGTATAAAGATAGGAACACACAAGCAGTACAGAAACTTTAAATGCATATTATCCCTTCCATCTTTGCTAAATAAAGTTGCGATTCCGGACACGGGGATTCCGGAACATTTGCTTGAACATTTCCAGGTCAAGGGTTACCACTGCCATATTTGGAAGCTACTGTGCATGTGGCCTACGTTCCGCTGTTCAGCCTCATTTACCGCACTCTCTCTGGCCCACAGTCTTCTTTTTAAACCGTACACTGGGAGTTACTAGGCTAAGCTGTCTCGTAATCATGGGTTGAATTGTCGATATCGTCGATCAAGATGTAGTGCGGCAACACGCTCATGATCACAATGCGTCGTATTTTCCCTCGCAGATCATCAAAGTGTACAAAGGGAGGGGAGTTGATGTTATCAGGTTTGTGTGCGCGATGAAACAAATGTTTGTTGCGTGTAGTTCGGTATGGAAGTAAGTGATAGTTTATTGTCATAAATTTATATTTGAAACGTTTACTATACGTGTAGCTAGTGTAGGACATAGGCAGTTTGTGTTTGCGGCAGATCTACAGTGAGTAATATAAGGAGTAAAGTAGATGCGAATCACAAAGAAAATGATGAGTCATCACTTTCACTTTCGAGTACGTTAAGGGGGATTTGAGTTGTTTTGTTCGGAGTTTAGTTTACTCCTGCATGTGTTATTGTAGAAACTTGAGCAAAATACACACTTTTGAGTACCAGTGAACCATATGAAATGTTAATATTTGATAAACTTGAAGTGTTTTTATTATGCAATACAATAACACAGAAGGAATTTAATCCCATCCCATTTGACGTCATCATTCTGGTTCAGAGAAGAAACAATTTGGGATTTACATGCAAGGTTACACAGAATTTTAATTCACGCCCTATTTAGGGTAACCGTAGCAGACAGGGCAACTTTTCTTCATATAAACACTTTGGCTTGCCTAACTGGGACAACTCTCGGTGTGGTGAGGGTCAAAAAATGTCCAGATTTAGGATTTAAAGCAGAAATTTGTATCATAGAAGTGAAAATTAACCCCACAAAACCCACTTTGATTGAATGACTGAAGAAAAACTCAAAAGCAAGAGGGATATTTGCACATTTGATTAGTCAATAAGGGAAATGAATTATCATGTGGGGTCAACTTTGATTGGACTACAGAGACAACATTTTCATATATGCCTTAGGGGAAGGGTTGTCTCGGGTACCCAAGACCGTATAACTGGGACCTCAGATCATTAGCCATGCACAATTGACAAAGAATGCTCTGTATTTTTTTCCTCTAAGGTTTAAGGACCCATTAACCGATTCATGTGTGCGCTCGCGTGCGTTGCTAAGGAGGTGAAATTTCAGTTCCAGTTACTTACATCAGCCTGAGCACGGAAAATAAAAACAACTCAAGAACTTGCAAATTCGCTTACATTTAAGATGTTTTTCTTTGTGTTTCACAAAATGCAAAGTAAAAAAAGTACAAGCAAAGACAAAATAAGAGAAAGACAGAAAAACAAGAGCAATAGAAAGAGAAAAACTAACTCCATGTGGCTTTGTTTGATCTTACTGAAGTGCGATGGTAGTGTAAATTGTGCACACACTGATAGGGTAACTTCTAATATATGTTGGGCGCACTTCCGGTCTCTTTAAATGCTAAAGGAAACACGGTTTTATATTAAATCCACCCTTTTTCGACGAATTTCGATTCAAACCAATGTTGGGAACATAGCTATGCATTCCTTTTTCGAAATCATGCTTTTTTCAGAAAAGTACGAATTTTTCAATATTTTGAAATTCTCTCAAAATCTGACCTTTTAGAAATGAAAAAAAATCTATGCATGGCGTAATGAGGATTTAAATAAAAATATTAACTCAATGAAAAAAATCCCAATAAAGTAATTTGCCTGGGAGCCTTTGCATTTTTTCAGTATTAGTCACATGACCAAGGGCGTGGCCTGATGACGTCATCACTGGTACTACTGATCATGAAAAAGTTAAAAGACATGAAATAACTCTGAACTAACTAAAAATGATGAGGTTATGTGAGAATAAATTTTCCTTAGCAGTGGCTTGAAAAGATCAGTTAATGGGCCCTTAAGTACTTAAAATAGCTTTTAGTTATTTTAACATAAACATATATTTTAACTGGAGTTTGACTGTAGTCTGCATTTTACACAAAACGTGAATAAACAAGTGGCAAAAACCCGTCAATAATTCTCTACCTCGCAGTAAAAAGCAAGCTGGAAACTTGATTAAGATCGTAATTTATAATTTGCATTCCAAATTGAAATTAGGAAAACATAATGTACATGTATGCAGGGACACACATTCTAGTCATCTAGCCAAGAGCAGCTACTAATTTTGCCAGGCAAAAGTCCCTTAGAAAAAAAAGACTGCATAGGGGTCATTTTTAATTTGCACCACCCTGGAAAAGTGGTTGAGCTTGTTAATGACCCTGGATCAAGGCTGAGGCCAAAGAAAAATCATGAGGAACCCAAAGGTTCGAAACCATAAAATCCTGGGTGACCAGGACTTAAGCCTATAGAGAAAAATACTAAGTTTTTCCAGTCACCTATAGCACCCCAGCACTTCTAGAGCACAGCCCTGGTGCATATTGTTTTCTTAGGTATATCCAGGTACATGCATGCAGTACAGCAGGAAAAAGATGAGAACTTTGGATCATTGAAAACTGACATAATTTGATAGTTTTTCTGAAGAAAGTTTTAACAAGAAAAACATTTGTAAGATCAACATTTCTTTGTGCAAACCTCGAAATAAAAAAATAGTCATTTAAATGCTATATACAGTACATGCATGTATGTTATGCTTTCTTAATCTTTAATACAATGTTTTGCTTTCACTTTTTTTCAGTTTTCTCTTTTCCTGAAATTATTCTTAAGACACGAGATCCTGTAAGATTTTGGTGATTGCTCAGTCAAGATGCTAAGAAGTGTATGTTGTAACTGCTGGTAAGTAAACTAATTTTTTTGCATATTCTAATGTATTTGAATTCATAATTAAAGACAGGTAACTTAGCATAATTATTTTAATATATAACTAGTAATAATTTTCATTATTTTGATTTAATTGTTACAATTGTTTTATAACACTATGAATATGATTTATGGAGGTAGCGTGGCCGAGTGGTTTAAGGTGCTGGTGTTTTAATGCAGAGGTGCTGGGTTCAAGGCAAATCAAATACTTACATGTACGTGCATTACTGCTAACACATTGTCCAAATTTAGCTCTCTTAACCAGCATTCCCATACAAATTGCTAGAGATTTGGCCATATTGGCGGTGTGAAAACAAGGGCAAGGGCAAAAGAGTGTGAGAGTGGCAGGCCACAAAATTAACTTTTTTGTTTGGGAGCCAGCTAGTGACTAACAGAAAAATTTTGGTCGCCAGATCGTAAATTTTGGTCGCCAACTTATTTTATAAATAACTTGCACAAGAACACGATTTTATATGTTACTTTGCATGCAAGAAAAGTCACAACTGAAGAGTGAAAACAATCAGAAACAACATGAGTAACACTTAGTTATAAAGCTACCGTTGTTCTCAGGTGATATGTCTCTGGTCAGAAGGTGATGGTTGTCTCCATAGTCATTTTAAATGAAGCGAGGCATGAAACATTTTAAGTCCGTGGTTTTCATAGTGAGACAAACACGGGTCCTTGTATATTTTCCTTTTGCTACTTCTTCGAAATGCCATTCTTTATTTTCGACTTGGTTTCTTCGAAGGATTCAAAGTTTGGATTAACCTTTTGGCTGAATCTTCATTCCCCGCGCGTAAAAACTCATGTAATTCCTTCAACTGATTGGTATCTGCCGCCATTTTTGCGGCAAATGAAAAGCACATGGTGTTGAAGTGCACCTGCGATCCCAGTTTTGGAAGAAGCCACTGAAACAATATGGCGCGCCATGAACGCAGCATTGATGTGCCGAAATACATTCAATTTTTTCGATTATCTTGTAATATTCAGACATTATTTTACTGGGGATTGAAAGGTGAGTTATATACTAGCTACCATATACGATTGATTTCCTAATATAAAGATTAAAAAACAAAAGTTGTGTCATGATTTGCTTTAGTTATCGAACAAAACGTGAGTCACCAGCTGGCGAGCAGTCCTGAAAATTTAGTCACTAGTGCTCAATTTTTGGTTGCACTGGTGACCAGTGAGTTGCAATTTTGAGCCCTGAGTGGGTAACAATAATGCCAGTAACTGGCACAATTTTGCTGAGGGACAGGTTTATGATTGGCACAGCTTGCTGTGGTAATTTTGTTCATTAATTACAAGGCATGAAAAATTGGTGGTCTTTTTCGACAGAATTCTTTCGTCTTCTCCCTCCTGTTTTTTGCTTGTGCATCAAATTTTGTGCACCCAAGATGCGGGAACACTTGCTATACAGGCTTATTTAAAGTTTATTTTGGTGTCATCGTTATTGAGAATTATACATCATTGGAGTTCTTTTCAACCTCTTCATTAATTCAGACACTCATAATACTCTTCATAATTATACAGTTAAGTCAATGTTTGCTTACACATATATTTACTTCAATCCATATTTTAGTGTAGACAAACAAGTTGTTCTCTAAAGGCTTCCTGTGATGTCTAGGCTGGAAAAGGTAATTTCTTCTGTTAAACTCCTCATGGTTTTTCCATTTTATTTGATCCAGCTTGGTTTATTACCTATTATTTGGCTGAAATACTTGAAGGTACAAATTTCCGGTTTGAAACTAATAACAACACGGTTTTTAAAATCACGCTCTCTTGCTTTTTCACATAATGAACCTCAAATCGCATCCTATGACTTACAGTAATGGACCTTTTAACCAATGTCACACTTATATGATTTTTTCATGAAAACAAAAAAATAAGCCTCACTGCTTTATTTACATATTGTATCATGTTTTGAGGTTTGCTGTTACTTTAGGAAATTTCTTGGGCAGTGACAAAATTTTAAATGTTCGAATTAACAGTAGATTGCCCAAACCCTTTTCAGACTGTTAGTGAAACCGATGAAGGACGATGGGGGTCACCAAACATCCAAGATCATTAAATCCAGGCAAAGCTATAGTAATGGCCATCTGCCCTACCGTTGCTCATTTTAGTACTTAGCGCACATGTTCTATGCATGACATGGCGTGTGAATTTGCGCGCACAGTAAGGATGTGCAGAAACAATTAGCGCAAACGTCCTTAAATTGATTTGATCAACTCTTGAATTGTTGTTATTATCTCCTGTTGAAGGGATCATCCTTTCGCAGTGCAGCCTCTACATCACAGGAATGTCTGGAAGACAGACCAAGAGTGTCCACCAACCAATTATTAAGAGTTACTCTGTTAAGTAGTGAATGGAGATCATCAAAGGGAGGCTTGTCTACGATCAGCAGAGAACTAGCAATACAATTTGCTAAACACCCTAATGTGGAAGTTTGTGTCTATCTCCCTAAGTGTAGTGAAGAAGATAAGAAAGTTGCTGGAAGTCACAGTGTTCAGCTCATTGAAGCAGAAGAACTTCCTGGATTTGAGCCAATTGATTGGTTGGCCTCTTTGCCTAAAAATCATCTTCCTCACTGTGTAATTGGACATGGTCTTCACCT